AGACATTGGCACAGGCAGCATACGATCATAAAGGGCGATGTCTCCAGCAAGAAGTCAGCGGGAAAAGGGAAGGGATATTCAGAGCAAAGACAGAGATCATGGTTCACTTGTCACACTAGGAAGATTCAATCGGGATTTACGTCCATGCTTTATGTGGATGAACATTCACGCAGGCAATTCATGGACTCTGCAGTGGCGATTTTTGAATGGGATCGCTTAGTCAAAGCAAAGAAGATCGTGGTTCTTAAATGCTCAGATTTGGAGAGAGATCCACCTACGAACACAAAAACAACTTCAAACTCCTTCACAAGAATGTATATATACACCAGCCTAGAGGGAAGAAGGGGAGCAAAGGCACTTATTCACTTCACAATCTTCCATAATAATTCATCGACTCACGTCCATCACCAACTTCACAAACACTCCATTGTTCACTCGTAAGTTCACTTCAACGCCCGGCGTTCCTCCTTATCTCCTCCACGACCTCCAATCGGCCACTGCGCATCCTGCCTCTCTACCACGTCTCAGCTCGCTACACCCCCAAACGCTGTGACCAGCACCTTCCAGCCGTGCTGATCACCTCTTGCCACCACTCCATCGCGCCGCCGTTCAATCATCACTACCCAGTCAAGCTCCGACCGCCGCCAGCCCCTCTCCACCTCTTCTGGGTAAGTCGCTGAGAGTATGTGTATTAAAGTGTGTTGGGTATGTATCGGGAGCAGTGTAACGGCTATGTGAATATGTTCGTGTGGGTTATCGCAACCTTCACCATCTAGGGGTTGGCTAATGGATTACTAGATTTGAATCTAGCTCGGGCTATCTCAAGTTTATACCAATTCGCAACTTGATTTAAGTTTTTTAACATGCAAAGAATTTTCATTCAAGAGTCTCACTAATCTATATTCGTGGATCGTTTAGAAACTCAAGCAAATATCGAGAGACTTACTTTACTTTTATGAACTAGCTATTAAATGAGTTCAGAGTCTTGAGTACCTTTTTCTATTTTATTTTCACAAAATAGACAGCTTGAATTGATTTTAATTTAACCAATAACATGTGAAATGATCATGCAGGTACGTAAATATTAACAAAACACCAATAATCAAAGTAATAAACAAATTGCTAAGATTAAAAGGGATTTACTTACCTCGAAGCAACGTAAACATCTCCAACAAATGTTAATTAGAAACACATATTTAACCTAGGCATGGTTTCTAATTATCACAAAATTCCAATCAACTTCCTTTATGGGTTTGCTCTTATTTAAATGAAGACTAAGCTATATATCATGCAATTTAACTAACGAGCCTAATTCTAATGATGGCAATAATTAATATGGAACTGCCCTACATGACATGTAATTTAATTAAATGAACCTATCATGCAATTATTAAATGACGAGCAAGTATCATTACATGACTTAATTCTATATGACAAGGACGTCATATTTTTTGTATTTTCTATTAAATTCGTAATAAATAAATGCACTAATCTAACCAAGAACCTCACATATTCTAAAATAATCTTTTCGTTATTGGTTTATTAAATTCGTAATTAAAAATTACTCAAAATAAAAAATCTATCTAAAGTGAGATATTATCTATTTTAAGTTAGGAAATAGACTAACCTAAATCCTATCTTAACCTAGAAATTTATCCCAACATGCCATTCAATTCAAAGAATATTATATAATCTAAATATTATCTAAACGTGCATTCTATTTCAATTAGGAAAATACGTAAACTATTCTACACGATATTATCTAGAAAATCAATTCTAACCTACATAACATGCAATGCAATCTTTTAGTATTTTCAGGACAAGGAAAACAATCAAAGAAAGATAAGCACCAAATCATTCAATACATTATCCACCATTCAATAAAGCATCCAATCAATTCAAATAAGGAAAGAATATTTAATCAACTTAAAATTTCACAAATAAAATCGATAAGTTGATCTTAAGCCTTACATATCAAAATATCAATGTTAACCCGCGCAACCAATAATTCCGTCTAAAGCCTTGTAGATAGAATTAAATTTTATATGCAGTTGCGGATTAGGAAATATATCCCGATGGATAGTACGCCTATCACTCAAAAAGATTGAATTAGATATCAATCTCGTCAATTTAGGCAATACGATATTTAGATCAAATTTGATCTTGATTGTTTCCTAATTTGCGAATAAGCTTCCAAATTCAAACCAAGGACGGACGGCTCAGACGGTGGTGGACCAGCGGTGACTTGGAGCTGAGTCCACCGCCTGGTAGCGACCATCGAGTCCACCGGTAGTTTGTGAACTGAGCATCACCGCAAAATAGCACCACCAGTTTTTATTAATTATTTTCTTTTCTTTTCTTTTCTTTAAAAAAAATAAAAGCACTTTTAATGACATAGATGCCAATCGTCTTATGTGGCACAATCGAGGCTGATGTGGAAATTTTTTCAATTTTTATTTTTTGAATTTTTTTGATTTTTTTGATTAATTTTCTTTCTTTTTATTTTTTTGAGATATGTTCACTAGAAGTCCTAAAACTTGTCACGAAAGTGCAATTGATTCCTCAAACTTGCAAAAACTACAATTCAGTTCTAAAACTTGTCAAATTGGTTCGATCGAGTTCTAAAGTTAACACCATCCAATTTGGGTAATAGAAAATGCTGACGTAATATTTTTATTCTTTTTTATCCTACGTGGTGATGACGTGGATTTTTTAAATTATTTTAATACTAGTTTTATTTAAATAAAATTTTAAAAATAAGCTAAAATTTTATAAAAAATGGAGGAGGAGGAGGACAGGCGGGGAGGGCAGCCCTCTCCCCATCGCTTGCCGTATCCCGCCACCGCCGCCCCACCATCGCCAGGAGGGGCCGGCGAGGGTGGGGATACGGCAAGCGAGGGTCGCCGGGCCTCGGCCAAGTCGGCAGGCGAAGGCCCTGGGTGAGGGGTCGTGGCCCTCCCCCAAACCCAACGAGGGTCGCCAATGGTCGCCAGTGGCAACCCTCGGCCAAGTCAAGGCAAGGGCCGGCGACCCTCGTCCGATCTGGGTGAGGGGTTGCAACCCCCACCTACTGTCCCCCACCCTCGCCGGCCCCTCCCGGCAATGGCGAGGTGATGAGGGCTTACAATCCTCCACACCTATCTCCTCCTCCTCCTTTTTTTAAGCTTATTGTTTAAATTTAATTTAAATAAAATTAGTATTAAAATTCAAATTTGGGCCAAAAAGATATTGTTTTAGTCTTATGTTTCGTACTTTAGCCATGTCATCGCCACGTAGGAGAGAGAAAATATTAAAATAAGCCACGTCAGTATTTTCCGTTAATAAGTTTGATGGTGTTAATAGGACTCGATTAGACCAATTTGATAAGTTTTAGAACTTAATTGCACTTTTTGCAAGTTTTAGGACTCAATTATACTTTTGTGACAAGTTTTAGTACTGTTAGTGAACATGTCCCTATATTTTTTAAGGGCCGGCAAGGGTTGCCGTTCACCAGCCGAGGCTTGGCGAGCCTCGCAGGACACTGGGCTAGGCTCTATGAGCCCTCGCTGCCCACTAGGTGAAGGCAACAAGTCCTCGACAACCGCAGCGAGGGTCGCAGCCCTCCCTCAATGGCCTGGAGGGCTCGTTGCCCTCACACTAGGCCGATGAGTTTCGCGATCCTCGTCAGCGGCCAGTAAGGGCTCGGACACCCTCGCCCATGTCTCGACAATTCGAATGGTACATACAAACAAGGTCTTGGGTGGACCATTACTTGATAACAACGCAAGTGGTCCATCGATCACAAACACGGACTCTCACAAGCCCACATGACATTGATTTTTCTAATCTATGTATTCATTTGAAGTTGCCACTAGCCATTATTGAGGGCCGGCTAGAAACCCTAATCACAATGCGGGAGAATCGTCTCGATGCATTCGCAACCAAAGATTTTTAAGAACGCGGACTTGATTACACTAGTTATTTAATTAATACCCTTTCGATGCCTAAACTTGATCGATTGTTGACTAAAATGTTCATGCAATCTTTTTACCTATTATGATTCCTACTATTCTCATCTGTTAAGTGTCCATGCAATGTTTGTATTCATTATGGTCCTAATGTTTTAACCTAACCATTCTAAAAAGGAAAATAACAGTCAATGTATTGAAAATGCGCAATCAAGTAATAATCAAAATGAAAGTGCACAAATAGCGACCTAGCATTATCTCTTAAAAAAAAATCGAAAACCCTATTGTAAAAGCCCTAAAGGTTTATTCAATTTTGAATCAAATTTTATCTAAACCTAAAATATTTATTAAAAGCCCTAAAGTAGATGAATGCTAATTTTTTAGCTTTTCCCAATTTTTTTATTTTTTCTTGAATTTTTATTATTTTTATTTTTATTCTGGAAAAAATGGACTTCGGACCGGGTTCCTCCGATTTGCCGGTCTAATCCGGACCTGCAAATCGAACCAGCCTTTAGGCCAGATCTGACTGTGGCCCAAGCACCGATTCAGTTTTAAAATATATTTACACTCGGCCCGGTCCATTATCTAAGCCCATTCATCTAATCTGCCCTGGTTCAATTACTCGGATCCAACCCGACTTAGTTAATCCGAACCAGTTAACCGGATCCGACCCGATTCAGATTATATCCGAATTTTTATTTCTTTTTCTGGTTTTTACTATTTCTTTTTCTATTTCGTTTTTATTATTTCTTTTTGTCCTGCAAATCGTCTTCTTCTTCCCCACCACTTTCACCGAGACCACGCCGAGACCTTCATCACCGACGGTCTCACGCTGGAGCTCCGGCCAGCCCGACGTCGACAGCCGACATCGACGGCCACCACGAGAGCCATCCCGTCGGCTTACTACGCCCACCGATTCCGCCATAACAACTATCACCGGTGACCAATTTTCATTTATTGACTTAAAATCCCTCAACCGATCCGGCGAAAAATGCAATGCATGAACATACAGTAAAGTAACAGCTTAGGGAGCTGACTAAGGCGGCCTCTAACCGCAGGCTTCACCAAGGGGATCAACTCCGGCAAACCTTTATCCATGGCCGACTCATGATGAGCGAATGCCATAAAAACACACAAAAACTTGGCATCAGCTTCAGCTCAATCAATCAAAGAAGTGAACATAAATCAAACAAGATCTGGCACCATATCACACGGCCGATTATGTGAAATTAGTTTTAAAACATTTCTCAGGCATATTATCGAACATGTGGTGTGCGACTTAGAATATGAGTTTCGGATTCAATTTAGGATGCATTTGTTTCACGGAAAACTCAATGATAAAGGAAAATGCTTTCCGAGAAAGCATTTTCTAGGAATAGGGTTAATTTTCCTATGCTTGGTAATATGTGATTGAAAACGTTTTCTAGTGTTTGCATATGATTTGGAAAATAAATTCAATCTCATGATTTTATCTCAAACAAAAAAAAATCCTATTATTTTAATTTTTTTTAAAAATCGATTATTAATTATTTTTAAATTTTTCTTTTCTTTTTTGAAAAAACTAGAATACTTAATTATTTTTATTTTTCTTTTATTTTTTCTCATTTCTTTTTCTTTTTTCTTTTCTTTGCTTTTCTTTTTCCTCCTACTCTGCCGTGAGCCACAGGAGAGCCTGACGCTTGCCCGACGACTACTACAGGCGAGCTCGAGCTCGTTGGCCTTGAGCTCATCGGGATCTGGCGAGCCTCGAGCTCGCACGAGGCCAGCGAGGCCTTGCCGCAAAGTCGAGGTCGGCAAGCTCGAGCTCACCAGATCCCAGCCAGCCTCGACCTCGCGCCGGCGAGACTCGTCGGGATCTGGTGACCCTCGAGCTAGAGCGAGGCCAGCGAGACCTCGCCGCGAAGTCGAAGCTCTCCAGCGCGAGGTCGGGGCTTGCCAGGATCTGATGAGGTCGAGCTCGCACGAGGCTGGTGAGCTCAAATCCCGGCCAGCCTCGACCTCGTGTTAGCGAGCTCGAGCTCACATAGGGCTGGCGAGTCGCTGGCCCTACTTGTGGCCGGTCACCGGCCATCACCAAGGCCAGTGATCGGTGGAGGGAGGAAGAAAGAAAAAGGAAGAGAAAACAAAAAAAAAGAAAGAAAAATTAAAATATTAACAAAATCAAGATAATCAATTCCATAAAGTGGTTTCACACTCTTAGATTAGAGAATTAACTTTCCTAATTTTATACATTAAAGTTTTCCTTGATCGGAAAGTATTTTCGATTCACTAATCATTTTTCGCGAACCAAATGGGTGAAAGTCCGGAAAACGGATTCCGAGAAAATACTTTCCCTCAAACAAATACACCCTTAGATGTGAATATACAGAGGCCTAAATCAACAATATTTATAGTCAGTCAATCTCAACTTATCACGATTTACTCACGAATTCACCGATTGAACTCGGCGTTATTGATTCTCGAGAAGCAGGGGCAAAACAGAGCATCAGAAATAGAAGTTTACTTGATTAATGGAGTAGAGTCGCGATTGCTGAAATCACACTGAAAAAGCTCGAGCAGACCGCCGGTATTCCCTCCTTCGTTCCTTCCTTCCTTCCAACGAATGATTCTAATCGACGAGGCTCTTCGTTCGGCCACGATGTGGTGCCGATGATCGCAAAAATTCGGTGATTTCCATCTTCAGCACATGACTTTTTTGGGAATTTTCTCCTTTTATGCGCAATGGTTTCAGAATTTCTTGCTACATCACTATGCCTATATTATAGTTGGTAGCTTTTCCTACGGACAGATATTCTCCAAGTGCATATGAGTGGACTGACGAGGAATTTTGTGTCCTCTCATTTGACGGCAACGCTGCTGGTACTGCAATTAATTTATTAAGAGAAAAAATCACCTTTTTGACGACAAATGCAGATAAGAATGTCCCCAGTTCTACATCTTCAAAAATAGCGAAGGCACAACAACCGTCAGCAGTCAGCACCAGAGAAAACAAAAGCAGTACATGGTTTGGCGACAAACGAGCCTGGCTGCAAGCGACGATGAAGGGGTGGCTCAGTTTGCAGGCCGCGGTGACGATGCAGGGGTTTCGAAATTGCTGAAGAGATCGCTGAGCTAATGGGAAAAAAGATGGAGAAGAGCCTCCGATTCTCTCAGCCGCCAAGAAAAGAATGAAATAGAGTAAGTTTTTGGCTTTGCCCTCATGGGATACCTGGGTGCTTGAAACTGAATCTCTGATCAAGAACTGTTATGGCAAAGGCATATTCCTATGAACGGGCAAAACTTCATAATGCATGTGTGTTTACACCAAAAAGTGACAAAAAAACCATGGAAATAGGCATCGGGAGCTTTGGCGTCGGTAACTTACCGATAGTTCGCAACTTACCAATAGTGAGTGAGCAGAGGATTGGCATCAGCAACTCACCGATAGTTAGGTATCAATAACAAAACTGCTTATGGATAAGGGTGGTTATTTGAACATAAAGAGTGCCTAGAAAATAGGAAGATAATAACCACCGTTAGGAAGTTGCTTTTTATTTAAAAGTTGTAAACGCTTGTACTAGATTATAAATATCACAAGTTTGTATATTGTAAAGGCCCCCCATCAACAACAGAACTCACGTTCTTTATCAGTTTATCTTTCTTTTATCTTTACATTTCCTGCACTTGTATCTTTACATTTGGCCAAGGCCATTATTTTCCTGCAATTTACAAGCTTTAATTCTTTAGAAGTAGTTCTAATGCTCATATTCACGTCGCCGAGTCGTCCTCTGATATGAATCTTCATCCTTGGTGCTTCGTCGTCGAGTCAAATCTCGGCGTAGTACCGCCGCTCTTTCAAGCTTCGTCCTCGAGTCAAATTCCGTCGAAGTTTGTTTCAATAGTACTTCCTAAACTTTTCCGTCGAGTCAAGCTCCGGTTTGGTTTAGGTTTGTACAATTCCACGTTGATTTTTATGATCGCTTGGATATTTCCTGTCAAATCACCATAGAACCCGTCCTTCAATTAAAAGTCGAAAATCCGTTTTCGGTGTTTGTTTCCTTACGGATTAAATTACGGAGAAACAATGTGACAAGAAGAAAGATGAAGATAAGCTCTTGGAGTTGGCGTCTTGAAAGTAGTGCAGAAGAAAGAAACCCAGAAGTGACCAAAAACCAGGAAACCTAGAAACTTCAACAATTCCGGACAGAGTACGAACGAGAGGGAGAAAGACAAAAAAATTTAAACATCTTTTTATTTTTTATTTATTTCCACTCCAATGACATGTGTCAATTTGCGATTGGTGAACAATACATAAGTACTTGCCACGTCCGCCTATGATGTGATACTATGCAATGCAAATACAAAATTTAGGTTCTTGTTAACAAAAAAAAGTTTAGGATATTTAAGTCTCAATAGACATAATTTAAGGTTTTTGGCAATATTTTTCATATTTAATTATCCATTCAAGACGTTTTCTGATTGGAAAATCAATTCACGTGAAAGTCTAATCTTATTGCGTCTAATAGATTTTAACACTACTCCATTTGTTATCTAAATATTTGCACATAGCATAGCAAAATTGTTTCTTTTTTACTTAAAATCTAACTTATGTGATCTTGATCAATTGTTGCTTACATGACCTTATAAAAGATTATAAGGATAAGGACCTTAGCAAGTATACGAATTTATGTGCTTTTTATTATCAAGAATCTCAACTTCTATTTTTAGTCAAGTACTTCAACTTTTCAAATTTGGCTCAATGTAAGGACTCTATTAAATAAATTGCTATGTTAAGTGATTTTACTGATGTAACTCACTTACTCGGTAAAATTCAAGCACAATTCATGATGTGGTTCGCTTACTTAACAAAAATTTTATCATCTTTATTTAGGTGTAGGAAAAAATCACAAAAAACCCCAAACTATACTTATTGTGACACATTTACCTCAAATTTTTTTTGTGACACAAAAAACCCTAAACTAGTATCCAAGTGACACATTTACTCTCCGTTAGGGTTCTGTTAAAATCTCCAGTAAAAAATCTGACTGGCGCCACATCAAAAAAAATAAAAAAGGAAAACTAAAATTAAGTTACTGGCATCGTGAGTACTGTTCATGGCTTCAAAGTTATTGTTCATCGTTTGGCTTGGCCAAAGCTCTTTCGGCACTCATTCGTCGCTGCCCACTGTTGCCCGGACCTCTGGGAGTGTTTGTTGTAGCTGCTGGCCATGGCGGCTACAAGCTTTGAGGTTGGATCTGGCTTCGAAGCTTATGACCGCCATGGTCGCTCAAGCTCGAAGCTCGGCCTGAGGGCAAAGCTTGGCCGAAGTGGATCTCCGTCATCAACTTCGTCATTGTCTTCCTCTTCTTCGTCATCATCTGAATAGAGGCAGAGAGGCTCCTGGCCAAGAAGGATCCAGCACATGCATTCTTCATTTTCTGGTGAAAAAGGAGTAGACAAAAAGGGGAAAGAAACACTAATACACTTGGAGGGAATAGGAGAGAAACAGAGAGAAAAATGGTGAGAGTGGGTAATCCGTAGCAGAAGAACGAGCTTCATCCGTTCGCTTCCCCAAATTTGGAGAAGACACGATTTGCCGAAGCAACTTAACCAAAACCTCTCGCACGCCCCATCTTCGATTACTATGGTCTGAACACTAAGGATCAACATCACCTTGGCGGTCTCAGATAATGGGCTCTACCTTGCCGAGCCGATTTCATCCCAACCAAACCATCGTTGTTGGTTGCTATCCAAGTCTCGCGGATCCGACCTCAGGCCAAGCTTCAAGCTCGAGCGGCCATGGTGGTTGCAAGCTTCGAAGCCATGGCCAGCAGCTACGACGAAGCTCCCGAAGGTCCATGTGGGCAGCGACGGACGAGCTCCAGAAGAGCTTTGGCCGAGCTATCGCAAGGTTGAAGACAATGAACAATAACTATGAACTGTAGGTCGCGATCGAAGTAACTTAATTTTAGTTTTTCTTTTTAATTTTTTCTGATGTGGCACCACGCGAGCGCCACATCAGCACCACGTCATATCTTTAATGGAGATTTTTAACATAACCCTAACGGAGGGTAAATGTGTCACTGGAATACAAGTTTGGAGTTTTTGGTATCACAAAA